GTTTTGACATCGAGCCCACAGTTTTTCCTTTTAATTATTCAATACGAATCGCGTAACGAAAATTAACGCAGAGATATGATCTACCGTCGTAACACGTCTCACTTTCCATCGCGTGAAAGTGAATCTTCCGTTTCATAAGTCCAAAAAGGACACGAGTGGTCAGTTACACCGGTCGAATTGATGCTCGTGTTACACCGCCAGCGATTCTCCCCGACAAGAAGAAGAAAAGACCTGCAAGGTTGCAGGACTTTCTTGAGTCATGTATTTAAACCGCAACATCTTAATTTTTCTTGAGATTCACTGATATCGTACTGTTTATAGGGACATCTTTCGTATGCGGTCAGACTTGAAACATTTTATGACGGGAGATGTACGACAAAGTTGAGGACATGTACATGCAACGTAAGTAAACACATATTCACATATGCATATGCATTGAAGTATTCAGATGCATTCATGTGTTCATACATATATTCATACATATATCTATGTGTAGATATGTTCATACATATGTTTATACATGTTCAGACATATGTTCATACATGTGTTCATACATATGTTCATACATATGTTCATACATATGATCATACATATGTTCATACATATGTTCATACATATGATTATACATATGTTCATACATGTGTTCATACATATTATGATCATACATATGTTCATACATATGTTCATACATATGATTATACATATGTTCATACATGTGTTCATACATATTATGATCATACATATGTTCATACATATGTTCATACATATGATTATACATATGTTCATACATGTGTTCATACATATTATGATCATACATATGTTCATACATATGTTCATACATATGATTATACATATGTTCATACATGTGTTCATACATATTATGATCATACATATGTTCATACATATGTTCATACATATGATTATACATATGTTCATACATGTGTTCATACATATTATGATCATACATATGTTCATACATATGTTCATACATATGATTATACATATGTTCATACATGTGTTCATACATATTATGATCATACATATGTTCATACATATGTTCATACATATGATTATACATATGTTCATACATGTGTTCATACATATTATGATCATACATATGTTCATACATATGTTCATACATATGATTATACATATGTTGTTCATACATGTGTTCATACATATGATCATACATATGTTCATACATGTGTTCATACATATGTTCATACATGTATTCATACATATATGTACGTACACATATGTTCATACATATGTTTATACATATGTTCATATGCATGTATGGCCATTTTCATTCCTGATTCCGCCATATTTGAATCCAACTAACCTCAAAGCATATATCGATACGTACGCACATTTTCACGCCTGATTATTTGAATGCAACCTCAAAACGTGAAGAATGCAAAAATTTTTTATGCAACGGAAAGTAAAAGAAGTTACATCTAAAAACGCAAGCGATAATCTATACGCATCGGCGCGCATAAATTGCGTTAGTTTCGCAATAAACAAAGGGAAATCGATCCTCGTTTTATTTTAATTTAAACGTATGATTCTTATTGTATGTGGTAGAAAGTTCAGGGAGTTAGCTCGTTCGGAAATTAGAGTAAAATATCCGAAATGGAAATGTAATAACCAAAATGTAATAGAAGAGTGATCAAGAATGATTGGTTCATTAGTGCAACGTGACAGTAACAATAACTCGCATCTTAATCAACGTTCTCCGTTGAAACATGTCGTTTCTGGAACGCGGAACGAAACAACAAAAGTGGTTCTGTTAACGAGCCACTCGGATCGGCCTTCGAAAGCCACTCGAACGCTACAGATACGCTTTTCGCGTAACAAGCACAAATTGCTGAAGAACGAAGCTCGAAGCCTAACGAGGAAATATTTGCCCTGACGTCCGAACGCATTTGCATTTCATGAAGTTTCGAACGAGAGCCAGAGCAGGCGTCTCGAAAGGAAGGCTCGCGAAAATTATCGGCAGGCATTCCCGTTAGACACGCAAAAGAAATTATTTACCATTCTATCGGTATTGCGCGGCATTAAAGGCCATAATCGGACGCCTAGGGACGAACTGAAACTTTACGATCGTCGGATGATCACCGTTACCGTTCACCGCAAACACGGCGAACCAATATTGTGGTTCTCCTCGACGTTTCATCTCTTGCTACGACAACGATGAAAAGAAACGGTAACGAGCTCTGTAAATCGCTCGCGTTTCAAAAGAATCGCGGAAACAAAACGACGGCTGCATTCCTTTCTTCGCGAGAAACAGAGATCTATGATCGATACGTCGCGTACATTATCATGATCGATCGCTCGGACGCCTTCGAATACCTCGATCAAAGTGTCCATGAGCTTTTTATCGTCTACCATGAATAAGTGTCGACTCGCTCGTATCCTTTGACTAAGAACACAGATAAATTGCAATGTAAGATTCCAAGGACGAGTTAAGGGTTGGGAATTAATTACGAGTTACGAGTATCGTCAGAAACATCGCCTATTACTTACGCTTCGTCGCAGAAACAGAGCACAGTTACGAAGTATTTACCAAGAGATTGAATAACCAACTGGAAGTGATCCCTAGCAATGTTATAAAATGAACGGGAACTAGAGTCTCCTTTTACGTCTAATGGTTAAGGGATCTTAATTTAAGCACTCCGTTTTCTCCGGTGTGTCTTATAAGGAAAGGAAAGTTTCAGGCGTCAATTCGTTAATCCAACCTCTTCGGGCTAGAATGTATACACGTAACCCTGTTGGGTCGATATGCACCTACTTGAAGAAGTTACGTAACGCAACGCTCGAAGCGCAACGATTCCTATTCGTTATAATCGCTGGGCGTAATATGCAATCCCAGGAATTCGATCCGATACTGTGTGTGGCTTAACACAGTGATGGTCAGCTGATAAATTGCCAGTTTCTAATTTGAAAATTTGAAAGTTCTTACATTTCTAAATTCTTTGGAAATTTTCAAATTGCAAATTTTATTTGTGGTAAAATTAAGGTTTCGATCTTTGTCCAACACTGATTTAGCAACCTCGTGTTCCTTAGAAATTCATAGCAGCTACGATTCGTTCTCATTAATCGAACCAGTGTTCCAAACTACTGTTCCTCCGCTTAGCAGATTATAACAGGTACCGTATCATGATCGACCGTGCTTTCAATGGTAATGCACCACGTCATTGACACGTAAAGATCGCGACCACACATCGGCTCTCGCGTGTAAAGGAGAACACGAGTGTTTACACTCATGGATCATAAACAGCCCGGGCATGGAAGGAAAAGGTGTGAGCCGACCTTTGCCGGCGTTGATTACTACGAAAACACTGGCAATCCACTTCGGTAAATTCAGCGAACCGTGCGACTGACGACCTCCTTTTCTGTTCCTTTAATTACCAAAGGTCTTCAACTGCTTGCAATAATATCGCTCCATTTTTCCCCTAGCCGCGATGGAAAACAAAGAAATCATGAGAAGGCTGCTCGCAATAAACACGGCTTTCTATTTGGAGCGATTTTACTCATCCTCGATGAGGTAACGTGAAAGCGACGTATCGAGCGTTATCATCGAGATTAGCCCGTTGATGAAACAACTGACAGCTTACCACATTCTAACGACTAAATTCTGCTTGGCTAATGTTGCCTTGTGCCGACGTATCGAGTCAGCTAACATTTTTAAATGACCTTTCCCATGACACAAGTGCTCGCACTCGCGTTGCTTCAACCTGCGGATAAATTACCGTCGAAGTGTTCTTACGTGCATTCGCACACGTTTATCTCGTTTATACTAGCCAATTGTTCGATAACGGATCGAGAAGGAAAACAAAAGCACGAGAGTTTTCTCGATGCGTTACACGAGTGATTCGATGATCAATTCAATTACTCGATGATTACTCTTTCACTCTATCTAGGTCAGGTTCCGAGCTTCGATATTGGAAAACAACTGAATTACGTTCCTTTGAATCGAAGAAAAGCTGACAGAGATCAGAGTATTAACAACTTTATTGTACGAGAGTATGACGGGTACCTCGATCTCGTCGGGAAAAAGTGAAATGAAAAAAATGCCGTGGTATTCGCTTGGGAATTGCTGATACTCAACGGGGGGAAAAAGACGCGTATAGAAAGGACGATAGAAAAGGAGGGGCGCCACGTATTTGCTTCATTTCCACGAGAGGTTAGCCACCACGTAACCGGCATCGCAATCCCTAATTATGCAACCTTCTTCTTCTTCTTCTTTCATCCAAGTCATATCTCCCGTCGATATTCTCTTGGTTTGCCCGCGAAGGTAGCGTGAATTTTCTCACGCACCTGAGTTTCCGAATGCCGAACTCGACTGATCGCTATTACCGCAGTATTTCTACTATTTTGCGCGCTGTTTAACACCTGTTAATAGAACGCATGCGATATAGTTTTTCTTTATGTCAGACGTTTGCAATTGCACTTTGCAGCAACTAAATTACCTTTTCCTGCCGCAGTTCTTATTTAAGGCGGAAATAAACTGGGAGCAGTATCTTCGTGAGTTTGAAATTTCAAATTTTGCCGCCCATATTCACTGTGACACGTAGTCAATTTAAAAACTAGTTAAATACGTTAATCATAAAACAACTGTGCAACCTTTTTTAAATTTGCAACTGCACTTTGGTGCAATTGAAAACTGTTTCCTCGTTGTTTGTGTTTTATTAAAAGTAATACAAATCAAGTGCGCACAAGTTTAAAACTATAATTATATACTGCGCATGCGCACCGCAACATTCAGCAGTCTTTGCTTGAGAACAATTAATTTGATTTGTCATTTATAAAATAGTTAAATGTATAGCTTTTCTTTTGCAGTAAATTTTTAAATATATACATACTATCACAATTTGATTTTTCATTCTCCTTCTCACTTTCAATTAAAAGAATCGTGTCAGTGCCCACGCGAATTCAAAATTTCTAATGGCCGCCGCGCATGCGCAGTGCGATGATCTAGCAGTCGCGACTTGACCGTTCGTTTAATTTGTCGTTCGCGAAACAATTGCTCAATATTCAGTTACGTGTCGGGGTTTGTGAGTGTGGTAATGAAACGATAACGATCATGAACGTGTCTCGAGTTTCCACGTCCCAATTGACATTGAAACGCATACAAGGACGACGTAGTCTTTGGAATTTCTTCGTGCGCGAGTTTCTTCGATCGTGTTACGCGGGATTCTGTTTCGATCGATGCGTGCAGGTTATGTGCGTTCAAAACCGCGTTGTCAATACGAATGAAACAAATTGTGTTGTTCGTTGGAATAAAGAGGATACAATTGAAAGAAGAATCTTATTAATGAGAGGTTCGGCAAGGAGATAGGACTCGAGGAGGTTACGTGTACGTCACCGATCGAAGCTGATGTGAAAGTATCATCGAAAGGGTGAGTCAAAGAAAAGTATTCACGAAAAAAGTATGCGTTTTCATGGGAAAGTCAGGAGCAAAGTTTTCACGCGAGGCGATGTTGCACGTTCTAAGTGCTTATTTTGCAACGTCTGAAATATTCGCAATATTTATCGTTCGCCTTAATGGTTCGACTATCGACTAAGCGTTTCACTTGCGACTAGAAATTGCACGAACCTATTACCATGAATTAAAATTTATGAATTCTTTATTAGACGTTTCGTCGATATTTTCCAAGAAAGATTTCCCGCCATTTATCGTTCGACTTTTACGCGCGAAGAAACGATTCAAATACACAGGTTAAAAAGTGTTCGTTGTTTTTGTCGTGCCACCACTGTGTTGTAGAGTAAGTGGTTCAGCCTTGAGTAGGTAATTGTAAACAAATGGGGTGATCGACCTCGATGCAAGCCTTGAAACTCGCTCTCGGAATTCTTGATATTGGGAAGCATTTCGATTGCGTGATTCAAACGACAGGACGCGAACTAGACTGCATACGTGGATCGTTTCGCAGATGAGCGAGCGTGGTGCGATTAATCTTGTTCAACGCTCATCCCGGCACGCTACATACCGCTATTACCGTCTTGCTCGCGTTGTCATTAACTGAAACTCGAGACAATGGACCGTTGCACAAGTCGCGACACAATTGTCGGAAAAGGTAGAAAAGCGTCGGGCAAAGGATTCGTAACAAGAATCCCAGAATTGTACTGGATGCAACGTTTTGCTGTGAGAATCGAGCACAGGTGTTCTTTAGTACCGGCAAGGCGTTGTAATGTGGGGCGATATATGTACGATGCCTTGATATCCGACGCGTCTCTATAAAACGCGGTGCAGTGGATCGATATAGGACGCGTCGATATAATAATCTATACGAGTATATGGATATGCAACGATAACAACTCAGCAAGAAACTCTCACGTCCACGTACAGGAGGAATTGCGATACAACGCGTGGTAATATATCTGGTAGCTTTCAGCAATATCACGTTATTAACGAATTTATATTAATTCATGTAATTTATTTATACTGATATTTATGTATACTAATATTTTACTAAAAATATTAATAAAATATTAAAAATACACTAAACTCGTAAACTTGCAATTTCAACCTTGTAAATCTCGTAAATCCAAACGATCATGAAGGAGAAAGTCGTCCTTGAAACTATTTGCTCGTGATAAGCACGGATAAACTCGTTCGGAATCACGAAATCCTGAAATCTCGTGGATCCGCCTTGAGTAGAAATCGACAGTATCCGTAATCCAGCTTACGGATATCTATTCGTGAAACGAGCCTGTTGCTCGCAAACTCTCGAAACGCGTCTCTACACACTTTCGATAGTAGCAGGTAAAAATTCGCGGCCGTTTTTCCTAGCTCTTATTTGCGGTCACCTGAGCAGTGTAAATAAAAGTGAAATTGCTGGTCTTTGCAATTTGCGATAGTAAACTATAACTTTCACTGGAACTTTCGTTGCTAGCTGTCGAAAGAGCCATCGTTCGATTCGCGATGAAGTACACGCGAATCATTATTGTCATCCATCCGGGAAAAGCGAGAGCCATCTGTCGTAATTGCGAACGATAAACTTCTGATCGTTAGGTCCATACTGCTTGAGAGATCTATTCGAAAAAAGAGGGAAATCGACGGATTGTACGTTACTGCGGGGTTGATGGAACGGAGCAAATGGTCTGGAGGTAATTGGTATTTGCTTTGGGATCGGTGATTTGGTCAGTGATTCAGATAATTTGAAATTTGGCGATTTGTGGATCAGTAAGGATACTCTGGACATAAGGACTTCGTTTAGGAGTTGTTTTAGGAGAATTATTCATTAAAAATTTATAATTTGAAAGTCGTTTTAAGGAGAGTTTGCACAGAGTCGAGGAATGAATATACAAGGTGTTTCACATTTAAATATTAAAGTAAAATATTAAACTATCTCCTTGAATTGGAGGGTAGCTAACGTGATTCTGAATAAGATTTCCCTTTGCAAAAATTGAATTTGAAGCTCCGTTTTTGAGTTATTAAGGAAAAATAAGGAAGGTTATTGCCGTGTCTCGTATACACAGTCACGAGTATAATGACTGTACCCGATGCATAATCCTTTGCTCCTCCCTTTGTCGTCGTACGTCTCGAAATACCTGGGTACTTGAATCGATGAATGTTAATCCGCTTCGTAGAACGCCTATGTGGCTTTCGGGTATTTCGCGAATCGACAATGCGCCATTCATTAGGATAAACGGTGTTGACACGGATGATATCGATGACCGGATTAAATCGGCAGAAAGGGAAAACAGGAGGCATCTCCAGGCAATGGAGGTACAGAGGTGCAGTCAAGGAAAATTTAAATTATGCGATGCTATTGTAGAGACTCAGTGATTAAGTTCTAAGGGTGCTTGGCCTTAAACTACCAAAGTTTCAAAGTTTCTAACTTGCAAAGATTTCTAAGTAACTTTAAGTCCAAACAGAATTAAATTTTAAAAATCACGAAGATACAAAAAAACTTGAGATGTAAACTTCAAGTCCTCCAAGGTTTCAAGGTTACAAGACTTCTTAGGAGTCATCTGCAAGACTCCTCAACTTCAAGGGCTTCAAAGTTTCAAAATAACAAAATTACAAATCCCAGTACTTTCAAGTCCCAAAATCCAATCCCACAAAGTACCAAGTCTTTGACAAGCCCCAAAATCTTAACAACTCCAATCAGGAACTTCCAAATAGAATTCTGAAACTGCAAAGTCGCAGATCGCAACACAATCGAAAACGAAAGTGCAGAATCACCGATCGCGGTTTGCAACGCGAGAGGATTCCCCGTTAAAAATCTCGAGGTTGCGTCGTGGTAAGGTCGGTAGATTAGCACGATGCAATTTAATGCAACAACAACGTCGGCCTCGATGCACGTATCGGTGGCATTAAACAAACAAACGAAGGGCCGCTGACAGTTCGTAAGTCATTATTAAAGCCCGCGTATAATTACACAGGATACGAGTTTCCACCGCAGAGTTAGGAAAAGAAGTCACTATACCACGGAAAGGTATTTAAATTGGCTTAGTATAAAGATACACCTCGTCGTCCTTTAAGAACTTGCCGCGCGATTATCTCGACCGCTCTTGATGTGCGAGCGAGTATCGGTATGCGCGTACCGAGACATCGTGTTATTCGATCGAAGCATTCCCATTCGGAACTGAATACCGATAACATCCAGATGCGAGTAGAATCTTGGGAAGCAGGTGATGAACGACGTGGACTATGGGATTTGCGCTATCGATTTTAAATAAAATTCGTGAATCTCTCTTTTGTAGGAAATGGAAGGATCTACAGGGTGTTTCAGAATTAGTGTAGGTCTTTGAAATGGGGGGTAGCTGATGTGATTCTGAATAAAATTTTCCTTTGCAGAAATGGGATTTGAAGCCTCGTTTTTGAATTATTAAGGAAAAATAAGGAAGCAGTCAGAGTGCGAGGATTACGCATGCGCAGACGCGAGAGCGACAGCTTTGCCTAGCGTCTGCGCATGCGTAATCCTCGCACTCTGACTGCTTCCTTATTTTTCCTTAATAATTCAAAAACGAGGCTTCAAATCCCATTTCTGCAAAGGAAAATTTTATTCAGAATCACATCAGCTACCCCCCATTTCAAAGACCTACACTAATTCTGAAACACCCTGTAGATCCTTCCATTTCCTACAAAAGAGAGATTCACGAATTTTATTTAAAATCGATAGCGCAAATCCCATAGTCCACGTCGTTCATCACCTGCTTCCCAAGATTCTACTCGCATCTGGATGTTATCGGTATTCAGTTCCGAATGGGAATGCTTCGATCGAATAACACGATGTCTCGGTACGCGCATACCGATACTCGCTCGCACATCAAGAGCGGTCGAGATAATCGCGCGGCAAGTTCTTAAAGGACGACGAGGTGTATCTTTATACTAAGCCAATTTAAATACCTTTCCGTGGTATAGTGACTTCTTTTCCTAACTCTGCGGTGGAAACTCGTATCCTGTGTAATTATACGCGGGCTTTAATAATGACTTACGAACTGTCAGCGGCCCTTCGTTTGTTTGTTTAATGCCACCGATACGTGCATCGAGGCCGACGTTGTTGTTGCATTAAATTGCATCGTGCTAATCTACCGACCTTACCACGACGCAACCTCGAGATTTTTAACGGGGAATCCTCTCGCGTTGCAAACCGCGATCGGTGATTCTGCACTTTCGTTTTCGATTGTGTTGCGATCTGCGACTTTGCAGTTTCAGAATTCTATTTGGAAGTTCCTGATTGGAGTTGTTAAGATTTTGGGGCTTGTCAAAGACTTGGTACTTTGTGGGATTGGATTTTGGGACTTGAAAGTACTGGGATTTGTAATTTTGTTATTTTGAAACTTTGAAGCCCTTGAAGTTGAGGAGTCTTGCAGATGACTCCTAAGAAGTCTTGTAACCTTGAAACCTTGGAGGACTTGAAGTTTACATCTCAAGTTTTTTTGTATCTTCGTGATTTTTAAAATTTAATTCTGTTTGGACTTAAAGTTACTTAGAAATCTTTGCAAGTTAGAAACTTTGAAACTTTGGTAGTTTAAGGCCAAGCACCCTTAGAACTTAATCACTGAGTCTCTACAATAGCATCGCATAATTTAAATTTTCCTTGACTGCACCTCTGTACCTCCATTGCCTGGAGATGCCTCCTGTTTTCCCTTTCTGCCGATTTAATCCGGTCATCGATATCATCCGTGTCAACACCGTTTATCCTAATGAATGGCGCATTGTCGATTCGCGAAATACCCGAAAGCCACATAGGCGTTCTACGAAGCGGATTAACATTCATCGATTCAAGTACCCAGGTATTTCGAGACGTACGACGACAAAGGGAGGAGCAAAGGATTATGCATCGGGTACAGTCATTATACTCGTGACTGTGTATACGAGACACGGCAATAACAGTGCATTAACCATAGCGTCATGCATTGGAGAAGACGATAATGAGAGAGGTGCATG